AAGCTCCACTAGGAGTTGGGGAAGAATGGCTTTTCTGTGAGATCATTATTCTGGTTTCCTAGAAATCACAAATTGCCACCTCCGATTTCTTTTCGAATTTTTCATTTTATCCATAAGTTGAGAAAAATCTGTTATTAATTATTCCTTCATGCCTAGAAGCATAAATATTATCATTAATTTTCATTCAAATTAAATAAGAGGCTGTCTTTGACAAATCCCGTGACCAGTGTCAGGTACGGCTAACAAGCAGGGCTAAGCTTTAAGAGATTTTTTGTTTGCTTATTTTTGTTTTGTTTTATTTTGTGGTTTTTGTTTGGTTGGTTTGGTTTGGTTTGGTTCGTTTTGGTTTTGTTTGGCTTCACAAGACAGGGTTTCTTTGTGTAATTGTCCTGGCTGTCCTGGAACTCACTTTATGGAGAACACTGACCTCAAACTCATAGACATCTACTTGTCTCTGCTTCCTGAGTGCTGAGATTAAAGTTGTTTGCCACCACCACACGGCTGGTGTGTGTTCATGTGTATGTGTGTGTGTGTGTGTGTTTTATTCATCACATAATGAAAACAGGGAGAATTGTGACTTTAATCATTAAGATAAAAAATAGATGTGTAAGAAAGAAAACGGAACTATTCTTATGAAACAAGAGACATTGTTGAGTCATAAATGTAGGCATAATTTAATTATTCAAAAAATGGATAGAACAAATTTCTTAATCAAAATGTTTTTAAAAAATGTTACAGTACTCAAAATTAACTACTAAAGAACTAAAAAAAATGTCTTGTAGCAAAAGAATATTCATGTAGTAAGGCATTTCTATGTTTATCAAAAGATTTCCCAAAGTTCTCATTGGGAGTAATGTGCCCTGAAAGATTCTCTGTGAGAATTTTGACCAAAAGCAGATTTAAATTTATAGTGCAAGCCTTGCATTTGGGCAAAGGCTTACCAATATTCTAAACATAACATCAAGAATTTGAAACAGATATATGGCCCATCATTGTAAATTTAACACTCTGGAGGCTGAAACAGAAGGCTTGCCAGGGACTGGAGTTTAGGTTGGTCCACATATTAAGATTCCATTTCTAGGTGCCACCATTTAAAAACTAGTTAAAGGCATAATTTTGTTTGTGTATGCTTTCAAGTGCATAGACTTCATCACAGAAAACTTTCCCGTGGTGCTGCCAGCAAAGCAAGGATGTAGGGGCCCAGACACGGGTTGGCAGAGGTCTCCTTGCACAGCACTGTCACTCAAGAGCTCCTGCATCATTCATGAGAACTGCGAAGACTAAAGAGGATGAGACTCATCATCTGAAGACACTGCATTTGGCAGTCTTAAAAAGTATCTATTTTATTCATATGTGTAATTTTTTTGGTTTTGCATAGAAATAGCAGCAGTTTGTTGGAATTCCATGTTCCCTCATGCTTTCAGGACAATTTGGACATCTTTTTTCCAAATAGATATTTCATCTCATTTGACACTTTCTTGTCAGTCTTAATTAGAAGTGATAAAAAAGTGAGGCCAAAACCAGGAAACAAGTTTTCAGGAAAGCAGAGAAATAAATTAATTTTTTTAGCTCTTCTTGCCCAGATTTACATATTCAACTATAGAAAATTAATAATTGGCTTATAGAAACGTACCAAATTATAGGTTTCTATAATGCCATCACCTTTCTTAATGCTTGGAACAATTAAGAAATTTTTTATGTCTATTTTTAACATGTTGTTGTTTGGTGAGGAACAGGAAAATGTTGTGTAAATACAATATGAAGTCAAAATTGTATATGATATGGAACTTGGAGGGACATGTCATCAGTCAGAGGGTTGGGGCAGATTCTAGAGAAAAACTGTGGTCTTGATGGGACATGATTGTGTTGGCTCTTAGGTGACTGTCTTTGCTCCTTGGGTATGGACAGGAGGGGGAGGAAAGAGGGGAAATAGACAGAGACAGAGAAATGAAAACGGATTATCAGGAAAACTTCTACAGATCTATCAGGGGAAACATTCTTTAAAATGAAACAATATAGAACCAAAAATGAAGAGAAAAATTACATACACGGAGTCCAATATTTGTGGACAGGGTCTGAGAGACCTCATAACTACTCAGATTTATTCAGTTGACTGAGCTTTGGCAATAGTAATACACTTGAGCAAATCCTCTTCAAAGCCAGAGGCTTATTTGTGAAACTAGAAATGGAGAAGCCCAGGGCAGAGCTGTACTGACAGATGAGTGGCATGAGTTAATATCTATAACCTGCACAATTGGGTAATCAATTACACGAGAGACAGGGGCCAAAGGAAGGCTCGAATCTCAGGTTTAGAACTTGGGATACTGAGCTAAAAAATATTAGAAAATATTAAGTGACAAAGAAAGAGTCATAAAAGGTTTTCGTGTGATTGAATTTGTCTCACAGGATGCCAGGAAATAGGTTTATGAGTCAGTGAAGAACTCCGTGATGAAGATAAAGTTCAGATCCATAGCCATCCTGTGCAGAATAAAATCCATAAAAAGTGGCAAGTTCAACTCAGGAGTAAAACCATAGAATTTAAACCAGGAGGTCAAAACTGAAATGTTAGAGGTTATAGTAGTTTACGATATGGCAGCATGACATCCAATCCATTCAAAATGTAAGGAAAATAAAGTCGTGAGGGCGAAGAAATAACACAACAGAGAAACTGGAGACAGAGTAACCCTTTCAACAAGTGAATGTTGGATCACTGATGGCCATGAATGAACTCGGCCACTCCCATAAACCTATAAAAGTTGACGCTAAATGGAGTAGGGGTAAATTACACAGAGTGGAATGAAACCCAGGCCTCACACAAGCCAGATCAGCACTCTACAACTGAGCTTCACTTTTAACCCTTTGTAGTTTGTTAGAGACAAAGTCCTGCTAAATCTCCCACGTTGGTCTCAAACTTATTATCCCCCACCTCAGTCTCTTGATCTGCAATTAAAGACCCAGGACACCACCCCTAGATGAGCCTTCTTTCAGAACTGAAAACATCATAATACTCACAGAGACCTACTTGCCTCTGCTTTTCTAGTGCTGGTATTAAAGGCCTGTGCCACCACCACCTGGCTGAATGTAGCTACTTAAACCACTAATCCTTCAAGAGTTTCCTAAGTCTCATTCAGAATCACCTTCAGCCAAGTGTTCCTAGATGCTTTAATGCCCTTTAAAGGACTTTTAAAGGTGTCCAATAAAGCATACCACAGGACTTGGAAAACCAGCCCAATGTTACTTGTATAATTCACTTCCTTAGTGGATAATTTGAAATTTTCCCATTATTATTTCGTGTAATAAAATTTATGTTAGAAACTTATATTATGTTATCACAAAATATTTTCCCTAAAGAGTGTATAAACCATTGAGTGATGTCAAAACAATTTGAACAGCCACTGCTTTGTGGAAATGACTGGTGAGTCCTGTCAGGGATTGGCCACTCTTAGTCAGACGCCTGTGGAAGAGGCAAACAGTGTGGAAGAGGCAAACAGTGGGAACGATCACACTGGGCTCATGGGGTGAAGACATTAAAATATTGAATGCAAAATAGGCAGAGTGACATCCTTCAGATGAGTGTTAATTCTTGTTACACACATTTTTGTTATTGTTGCAAAGTGCTGTACCCTTGCTAACATACAACTTAGCTACCTTTAAAAATAAGCATGGCAGCATTCAAGAGACTGAGACAGGAGGATTACTGCAAATTTGAGGTTACACAGCAAAACAAAACAAAACTCCATGAGTCTTCTTTCCCACTGAAAGTTGATCTTTAAATTATCACAGGGCTATTGTTGTTGTTTTCTTTTTTCTCCTAAAATACAATTCAGGAGGGAGCTACTTTGTGTCTGACTAGAGCTATAACTATTGTAGATGTTCCTGCTGCTGAAGAATTGACTTTCATTGAAAATATTAACACTACATTTTAATAACTTGAGATTCCCACAATAAATTTCTTCAGTCAGTGCACCTTTAAGTTTAGCCTTATCAGTAAGAAAATTAGAATGAAACAGTAAATTTGAAGAAAATACAACGTATTTCCACACTTTTTTAGAGTAATAAATGTGCTATTTTATCATCAAATAGGTCTTCGATAATAAGTTTATAGCAGGTTATTCTTTGGAATTTCCTTCTTAATAGCTTGCCTGGAGAGAACACAGGTCATCAACCGAGCACTCGGGACAGCACCTGCTGCCCTCATCCTCTGAGACTTGCATGTGCCTGACTCTTTTAGTGTAGACAAACTTCAGTTGTGACATTCACAGCAGCAGCTAGGTTGTCTTAGGACGTGGGATAGATACCTAGTTCTTCGTTTAGGAAACAAAAGTCCGGTCAAGACACTGGCAATCCCTGTGTTCCTCACATTTTTGTAGGAAAATTGTAGTGTTTACTTTAGTACACTGACTCTTCAGAGGAATGCTATGTTCACTTTCTTATAACACACACACACACACACACACACACACACACACACACACACAAACGCGAGCGCGCGCATGCAAGCCCTATGATGTGAAGACCTTGGACTTTCAAAGCTCTGTAGGAGAAGTCAGCCTTTCTTTTAAAACTGATTTTTCAAAATGGCAGATTGCTTTAAAGTTGTGCTGTTTCCCTTTTCTGACAAAATTCCTAAATAAAGCTTGTTAAACACTCGATGCTTAGAATACAACATTTAGAAACTTCACAAAACGCAGTGGCATCTAGAGTCCTCTGTTCCCTCCCCATACCATAGAGTTTTCTCTGTGATCTTGCTGAGGAGTTTGACCGCAGGAAAAGGATCCTCGAAGGTGCATAAACTTGGGCAGCCAGCTGCACACCCTTGAGCAGCTGACAGGCGCAGAGACCAGAAAAGAGAAAACCCGGAGGCATTAGAACCAAGAGCCTCGGACTTTGTGTTAGTCCCGGCCCCTTTCCATGATAGAGACCTCCTAACCTCATGTGGGTAAGAGCCGGCTTCTGGTCTGCACTGGCTGCTGCTACTCTCTGTCCGCAGCAGGCAAGCCATTACGCATCTAATCAGCGCAGTATTTTAAGCTTACTCTCCAGGCAACATCGCTGCAAAAGCCTTGCAAGCTGGTGAGAGACGTCTGCTCCGGACCCTGAAGAGTCTGGAGTCCTTCCCAGCGAATAGTCTCTCACTCTGCGGAGCAAGCCAGCTCAATTACTGGAGAACAAGATTGGTGCTTGCCACCGCCCTCCCCTCCTGTCTTCAATAGGAGCGGGGAAGTGGAGATCTGCTTCAGTGCGCACAGGAGTGACCAAGTGCAGCTGGCTACCGGAGCAGCGACCTGGACGCGGGTGCTTTCCTCAGTCCGCGGACACACGAGCACAGCGCTGGACCATCCCGGCAGGGCTCGCGGGTGACATCACTCCTGAAGATACCCGCTCTCTAGTCCTTGCCTTCACAAAGCCTCTATCAGTGTGTTTGTGGGTCTCTGGAGAGGGCTTCCTGGGAAGAGAGGAAGGCGAGTAGCGACCAACCAGACCAGAGGAGGCAAAAGAGTAGCGGGGAGTGAAGGAGTACCCCAGAGGGCATCGACATGAAATTCAACGCTGCACACTACCTGCTGCCCCTTCTGCCTGCACTCGTCTTCAGCACCAGGTGAGTTCAGAAACGTGAGGCCCCAAGCCAGGAGGCTTGGTCAGGGGACAGGCACCTCCCACCTAAGCAAGATGCTAGCTGAGTGCTTAAGAGTCAGAATCTTTGGAGAGAGCAGAGCTCTTCTATAGCTCCCCCAGACCCCTGGAGAAAACCTTAGGATTGCCTCCCTTCGGGTATCAAGAGCTTCCCTCCGGAGCAAATGAAGACACCCCACCCCCACGCCCGGAGCTCTGAAGTCTGGAACAGTGAATGTGCTGAAGTAGGACACCATAAAGAGGAAGTAGGGAGAGAAGGGAATGTCCCTAGGGAGTGCTTTATGTTTATGTTAAACCTCTAGTACCCGTGGAATGAATTCTAAGGTCCAGGAAGCCAGAGAAAGCAGAAGGTGCCAAGACTTGAGCAGTGGTCCCCAAACTCGTCCTTTGGCCTGGCTGAAGTCTTGAGTGGGCTTGGAGGCAGGTGACTTCCTCTGGCTGTGTTTAAAGTTAGAAGACAGTACTGAAGCAGAGGAGAACCTAGTTGGGAACAATGGAGCACTGTGCTCCATCACTGGCCGCGGATGAGAATTTCAGCCCCAGTACAGAGGACCTATTTTTAGTGGAGATTTCAAACGCACTGACAGAAGTGCTTTGTGACTGCTGCTGGGGATGTAGTCTCAAAGTTGGTGATGGTATTTGCTTTTTTTCTCCCATTAGCACAGCACAAGGGTGTCCTGTTTCAGTGCCCAGGACTGAATTTATTCTGCATGCCTTGAGCACCCTACTGGCAGCAACCCTTTCCTTTGGCCTCTGTGAAATAAAATAACACACACAGGGTGTGGGTTCTTTCCAATTTGCATGAATAGAAACACTATCTGATTGTGTAACTCACCAAAACTAAAGGAGAGACACACAACTGTACAAGGTTCTGATGGAAGGGGTGAAGCAGGCTCACACGCTCTTTAAAGTGAGATGAAGAATCCATGTGTCTGTTTCTTGTACAGGCCAGCATAACCAACCTTTCCTTTCCATGCAGAAACTGCTCCATTTAGCTCCAAAACTTGATAAATTTTGCATTTCTTGAACAGAACCAAGTGGCTTTACAAGACTGAAATCAAACTTCAGTTTTATTTCTTCTAAAGATTTGCTTGTTGTTGCAATTTATAGTATTCTTATGGTTTTCACAAAACTCCACTTTGGTTCCCATTACTTCCTTAAACAATGAGCTCTTTTGAACACTACGATAAGTGACAACAGACTGATAAAGTTAGTCTCTGGGTTCTTGTCATTGGCTCCCACCTTCTGCTTTAATAATTGCTTGAGTGTTCTTTTGAAGTTCTAAAATTTATATTTAATTTATATGCCAACATATTCATTAAACAGTTAATGGTGGAAGGGAAACTCAACTTGTCGTGGCATGCAGGACAGTAAGCATCTCTTGAGATCCCTTAATCCATTTGCTTTTTAAACTAATTGCCATTGGAGTATACAAACTCATCAGTCTCCACCCCAAGCTTGTTCTTGTTCTGTAAAGCAAGAGCCATCACTTCCCTATCTATGAAAGTTAATTTCTATAAATATCATTAAGACTGAAGGTCAACACATCTATTACAAAATATTAAGTTATTCTGATTTGAAATCAGATAGGAACAGTCTACAGTATTGGTATTTTGCAAATAATGCAAGATGGACTTGAAAAGTGAATTTCCATAATTAGTAACCATTTGCATAATTGCTCTGAGCAATTTTATTGGACTAGTTCCCCAGGTCACCTTCTAATGGTTCACATACTTGAAAATGAATGTGACACTATTAGTGTATCACTTACCAGAAGAGAATGGGCGTTAAAGGATTCTCACAGAATTCCATTCTCCTTACAGTATTCAGAAGTTCTTATTGTCACAGGGCAAGCATAAAAGTTAAATCCCAGACTGCAAACCTCTGTGCAGACAGTCACAGTAGTCAGGAAGGGCTGGGCACAGCTGGGCAACGCGGCACGGCTCAACCACGGTCAGCTGTGACAGGGTTTTCTGTTAACTTTCTTAGTGCTCTTTATATGAAGCAGTTGCATCTCACATGCTTACACTATGTTGGCTAAATCCACAGTGGGTGACAATCGCTACTTGTTGATTCTAAAGTTCCTTCTCACTTTGGGGAGTGTGGAGCTGAAACTCTAATGTGGAAGAACATTGCCCTGTCATGTGTCTCTCCCAGTAGAGTTCCTCAGAACTGCCTGCTTTGACTGCTGTAGGCCTGGTGTTCACCTCTGTCTGGAGGGAAAGAAAGACTGCTTTGAAACAGATGCTATAGTTGGAGAAGAAAGGTGTTTTACAATAGTGTTCTAGCTACCAGGGTGGCAATTTTCAGAAGATTCTGCCTTTTAAATAGGATGGATTGGTAGATGTCTGTTCTGTTTGCTCTCCCCCTTACCATTACAATTAGAGACCCCATAGACATCAAACAGACATCCCCTCACTCCATCTGCATGAACAATATCAACACTCCTTACTTCATTTGTTCTGAAAGAAACATGAATGTTCAGCTTCATTCTGACAAGCTTTTTCCTGTATTTCACAGTGAGCCCCATGGAGCTTTAAAGAAAAAAAAAGACCTTAATTTCCTGGCATATTGTCTCTGTTGTTTAGAAAGCACATAGAAATTTAAGAGTACAGTCAAGCTAATGATTTGAAAATGTAGCTAATACAGAGTTCCATTTAATGTGTGCACAAATGCATGTGGTCAAAGAACACAAATGCATGGGAAGGTTGAAGAGCTTTGGAAGAGAATGGCTGTACTGTTCAAACAGTTTCATTCTGCAGGAGGATTGAATTGCTAGTCCAAGGCATTACCTCCACTTCAGAAACAGGAAATGTGGGGACTGAAAGGATGGTGGGAGGTCAGTTCTTTGAAAGTTTCTCCTGGAAAGGATCCCTGTGTACTGGAGGAGGCTTGGGCATTAGCTGCTGAACCTCGGTTCTTTCATGCTGTGTTCATGCTCCTGATGCCTTTGGGATGTAAGCTCTCAAGTGACTTGAGGAGCAAGATGTAGCAGGGGAGGAGTGAAAGTCTATCAAATTCTGATGGTTCTCCATCAGGTACATCTTTGAGCAGATGGTTGCTATTGTCATCTCAGTAGGAGTCACCTGTGAGGTCTCCACTGGGCCCTGATCAGGAGCTGTACCCCATGCTCTGTGGGAATCTATTTCCAGCAATGTATGCTGTGAATGCCCAAGGCTCCCACATCTTCTGTTCATGCCAACCTCAGGATGAAGCTGCTGTATATGCCATAGAAAGAGAGGACACCAGCAAACTCTCTTGTACACAGACACTTTTAAAGAAATGTGTTTGGTGTAGGAAGGAGTCTCACTTTAACTACAGTGAAATGGTGTGAGGGACTATGAGTTTCCCCTCCCAAGTCCTTCTCACAGGGAATCTGATGTACAAACTTTTAAAGAATAGTATCCTTTTGCATAAATGGATCACAAAAATGTCTTTAACGGGAGTGTGTGAAAGAGACTGTATTTGCTCCTGAGGCTGCAGTTCCAGCCCTAAGAAACTGTTTCCAGTACCACTATTTAAAGTGCCAATTTTTGGAAAATCTTTGTAGATCACATTTTCTCTGTGACCAATGGCAGCGAGAGTTCAAACCTTTACGTGTTGACTGTGCTGATGTACCAAAACAAAATCTATGCAATTGAAAGGATGGACTTGACCTTCCTACTTGGAAGCAAAATGTACCTGGGATTGCTGAGCTGTGAAGTGCCATTTCCTCATCTGGGATTGGTGACATCATGTGTATAGCTGTTTCTGAGGAACTGTGAGAAGAGTTGCTAAAATCCCTTTAATAGATGGGGCTCAACTATTGAAGCTATCCTATAAGACAGGTAGTATTTAATAATATGATTTCTTCCACTGAAAGTTCATATAAACAGAAAACATAAGAACATTCATTCTTTTTGTATTTTCTGTGAAGTTTTATTTTCACAAAATAAGTTTTCTGTCTGTCAGTCACTAAGCACCTCAATCATTTCACTGATAAGGTACATTAGTTATAACTATATATCTCCTATCAAGACATGCATGCAATTATTATATATCACACAAAATTGAATAAGTAATAGCCATCATTTTATATAAAGTTCCAAGTGTGAATTTGGAGACAATAAACTATACCAATACAGAAGTTTCAGCTGTAATATTTTCTTTCCAATGACAGCAAGATGGTGTTTTATCTTCAGTCTCAACATCATAGAACATGTGGTAGCAGAAAGACTTTAAACAGTGTTTATTATTCATGTGCAGACTTTTTATGTAGCAGACAGCACTAATCATAGAACTTACTGAACAAAGTTGTAAAAACTGAACTAATTTGTGAGAAGAGTTTAGGGTATTCATGAAAGAAAGTAAGTAGCTCATGAAACTATTATCATCTGTGACAATGTTTTCATAAAATTCGTGTGTAGTGACATAGGAAAATAAGGTAAATCTGAAATGTATATCAGTTGGATGGCATCCAGTGTATGACACTCTTGTCATCTAAAACAAAGCATGGTAGGCAGAGAGAAAGGAATGGTGGCAGTGACTGTGACCTCGTATCTGGGCCCCTGTTCTCAAGAGCACTCTACTGTCAGTGTGTGGCTGGTTCTGTGTTCTCTGCTGAACATTATGAAAATTAGAGGTATTTACTTACTTTAAACACATAGAATGTGATTTAGCTCAAAAACATATATTTAGCTGGGTTTCTGTTTATGATGTAGTTGCATGTACACTGTGTAAATCATAATATCAAAACAGCCATGAGCACGAACAGTAGTGTCAGCACATAACTAAGATGCGTTGTTTTCAGTTCACAGGTAGATAGATTTCAAAATCTGTTTGACTTCATTTTCTACTTGTTCATTGCATTCATCATCCATTATTAATATTTGAAATGTATAAACATTCAGAAAAATTATAGAAATATCACATCAAGAAATAATCTATACTGTAGAAAACATTCTGAACACCACTAAGGAAAAAGAA